TTTTTTCAGACCCCCTTTTGATCCTAACAGTTAAGTTTTTTAGTTAGCAGTTAATAAGACGTGTTCCAGAAAATATGTTTGTTCATTTTCTTAGTTTTTGTCGGGTAGTTTTAAATTAGGTTGCCTATCGATCCCATATTTATTAAGCTTTCGTTGGTGTCTTTACCTATTAAGTCCGAGATTCCTTTCACATTTTATCTGTCATATGTAGTTTATAAAATCCTTAGGAGTGAGAAACCGACTCTATCATGCTTGAATCTAAACGTATTATCTAAAAACGTATTATCTAAAAACGTATATAATTTTTTCGACTTCCTATCATAGGTCCACTCTGATTTTTTGCAGAAGCGTGATATAGTATATCATTGCCCTTGTCGGAACGATATTTGCTCATCAAATTACAAAAGCAAAGAGGGATGCCATAACGTTTACATAATTCAAGAAACTTAATACTTTGCCAAATTTCATTTATTTGAAGTTTGCCTAAATTCTAACTACTTAAAAGTGTGAAAAACAGAGTTCATATCCATTCAATTTCAAAATTTCATTTCATTTCGAGTAAGTTAAGAAAAAAGTTTAATTGAATAACATTCACTTGGCTAAAAGCAAAATATAATTATAAACTAAAGATAAACTAAATAGAATAAGAAGTGAGTGAAAAAGATGAATGATACTGGTAGAACAAACTGGTCCGCGGTATCAACATTTGATAGCTTCTTTTATTAGTAGAAACTATAGTGATTATGCGAAATTCCAGCCAATATTAGACTAACTAGAAAAGTGCAGATTTACTATTACAATCTAAATGCTAAGCGTAAAATTGAAATTTAATAATGATATCGCAATAAATTTGTTTTGTAAGTAAACGTACGGATAATTGGCGAGTGTGACCAGCTTGACATAGACCTGCACAGCGGGGTCCTTCCATTCTGGATCGTGAGAAACGGAAGAAACTTTAAGCCCACATAGCATATTCCCAGTGCTAGACATTTCAGTACGTGAATGTCGGCGTCGAGGAACAGCACTAGCGATGTCCTTTGACAATACTGACGAGGGATCTTTGCCACTTCCGATATAGTCGGCATTCGGAAAAATTGTAGAGAAAGTTTTAGATACATCTTGAGATATGATTGGTGAAGGGGCAGTTAGCTGAACGAGGCCAAAAGTGGCCCCATGATTTGGAGAGCCTGAGGAGGCAGCAGTCGTAGTAATAAGAGGTTGTGTTTGAATTAAGCCTGAGT